CCTGTACCACCACCTTGAAAAAGGAACCTAAAATGTCACAGCAGTTACTTTCAGTTTGGTGAGCTCTGCGTCTGGTCAGTCTCATCAAAACTTGCACGTTTGTGCTTTTGCATGCTGCCTGTAGCTTATTTTTTTTTTATCTGACACAACACATTCACAATCTGCTGCGTGCATAACATGGGTGGGGTAGATTAATAAAGGAAGAAGGGGGTGGGCTTTTAATTTGCAAGTTCCGAGGGATTGTTATGAAGGATGAGGATGGAGGAAGCAGACTTCTCGCACCGTACAGAGATGCCATGAGGGCCTTTTGAAGATGTGATTGTTTGTAATTGTTCTGTTTTTAGAGACAGTTAGAAAAGATCTCACAAACCGTGTACTTAAATTTGCTCCATTAAATTGTTTTTTTCCTTGACTGTAATCCCTCATGTATATTAACTGACCTGAGTTCGAGTACTTCTGCTTACATGTGTCTACTTTTTCTGTGAGCAACAATGCAGAATATGAACATTTGTCTCCCCCATAAGAATCTCTAACCTCTCCTGTATAAGTGTAATGATTAAAAACTTGGACCACAAATCTGCTTCTGATTCAGACACCACCTGTCCAAGTATTACAGAAAGGTCAAAACAGATTTTCAGCAGCAGGGGAACAAAAAGCATTAGAAAACGACACAAAGAAAGGTTTGTGCAGAAGATACAGAACGGGAGCTTTGGTAACTTGAGTTTGATCTTGATTATTTAAAGAATGGGAGTGATGCTAATCAGGTCAGCCAAGCTGGCAAGACAACTGAGGAGAAGAGATCCCTCTACCTTTGCTGAAGATTAACCCATCCATATTGGATGCACTAATACGTAAGAGAAAAGGGAATGTCTAGCAGAAGTAGCAGCAGGAAGGCAGTAGATTACATATTTGAGAAGTAGTTGAGAGGCTTGGTTTCTAGTCTTAATTTTGACAGGGTCTTTATTACTCAGAGCATTATTTAATATTTCTATGCCCTTTTTTTAAAATATATAAAATGAAAGTAATATCTGCCTAAATATGTAAACAAGTGGTTGTGACAATTTGTAAATGACTGCCTGTATAGTTAAGAAGTCCATGGAAGCAAGTTGGCGGGGCAGAGATGTTTTCTATATTCCTAGGATTACGCTTTGCTCTTTCACTTCTTAAAAGCAAGTACAAAGTGGATTCAAAACTTGGGTTAGTAGAGTCCTATTGCTTGGTAAATAACGTAACAACAGTAGTTTGTGAAGCATGGAGTTGAAGACTGACGAGATTCATCTTCCTAATCTAGCAAGTGCTGAAATGCTCTCTGAGAGCTGGCTGGCTGATCTAGCAAAGCCGTGTAGGTGGTCAAGCATAAGCCTCGCTTTAGATGTGCCGAACTGGAGTAGTAGTACTGCTCAGTACCTGCCGTGGCAAAGGACTCCAAAAATGCACCACTCCAGAAAGGCTTAAGGCAAGGATGAAACTCTGTGGAGCCAAACTTTAATAATATGGATGTAGCCCAAATTGGGGGCGGGGTGGGGGGTGGCAATCCTTATTTTATGGTGAGCCTGTATACGCTACCAGTCTGTTGTTTTCAATTCTAAGTAAAAGTGTAAGAATTCAGTAGTGTAACACCATGTAGCTACCAGGTCAACATTTATAACTATTTCATTGCAGAGATTGTCCTGTAGGAAAAAAAAAAAAAATCCCCTTAGAATACAGTTCTTGGAAGTATAACATCTAGCCACTAATGATAGCATAGCATGGACATATAAAATATTTAAGAATGGGTAATTTTTAGCATAAATACTAAATGTCTTACGTATTTCCCAAGAATTAATTTTAATTGTGAATGCCATAGCTTAATAATTGTGTTCACTGCATCTCTGAATATAGACTTATATGGACAACATGGGCTTCTGTTGCAACATAGGAATATGTGGGGCATAATTACATTAGCTTCACCATGTGTTTTTTTTAACGGAGTATAGGGTTGTGGGGGGGCCCATGAACTTTACTATTTTATTTTCCTCTTCAGAGAATTTGTGGGGAAAATACTGTGCAGTGTTCCAAAATCTGTGCTTAGTGACTGTTATGTGATTGATGCAATGATGAGAGGGGGTAAAGCCCTAAAAATTGTACGGCGTTGGTAGTGCGAAGTGATAAGCTGCATCATTTGAGCCCAATGAGTAGTAACCAGCCTGTTCTCCAGTCCCCAGTACTGATCGTGGCACCAGCTACTGTGTCTGTGGTGTTTAGGCTGTAGAAGGTGATCTTGACTCTTTCAGAGAAACAAAACAATTTCATCCTAAACAATCCAAGAGGCCTGTTTCCAGCAAAGCGAGCTTTTGTGCTGTAAACTTCATTCATTCAGCGTAAGTCATTTGGTTTCAGTCAAAGATCCATTTAAAACTGGGCCCTGGCTAAGGGTAGAAGAGGTTCACAAAAACTAGCTTCAGTGGTGAAATGAGCTGCAGTGGTGCGTGCTTGCTTGTTCCTGCCTGTTGAGTGGCATTCATTGCCCCTTCATTTGTGCTGGTACAAATCACTGCACTGTAAACTGGATCACAGGCTGAATTTTTCCTGATGGAAGCTTCTGCTCCCCCCTTGATTTTATCCAAGACCATGGCCCTACTGAGAGCCCTGCTCGGCTGAGTTAAGGGTGGGAACAGATAGCTGAGGTTGAGAAGGAAGGCGTGGAAATTTCTAAAGCTGGTTCTGCTGATAAAGTCAGCATGTTGAGGAACTACATCCTAAAGCAAAAGGTTCAGAAATATGGAAACGCTAGAATATAAGCCATGAAAGGGTGTGGGGAATTTCTTCCACATCTATTTTATGCTGGAAAGTAAAGTTTTGATACTTTTTTTTTTTTTTTAACTTGTTGATTTTAAGATGCTTATCTGCTGAATTGCATTCTTTCAGTTTTGGTATGTACACTATGGAATTTCATAGCAATCTGTCCAAGCCTGACTAGCTAGAAGAAGGTAATAGAGGCATATATTTCAAACACAAACACGTAGGGAAGTGAAAAAAGTTTTGGGAAAAAACATGATGTGAAGGGAATATGAGCAAAACAAAGTGACAAAAGAATAGGACGCTGGTGATCTGTGCTGGCAATACGTAACGAAAGCAAGGATCTCATTTGTGGTCTGCAGACTGGTTTCATAAAGAGCGATCTCCTGAAGCCAGGAAGAATGGCTGGTAGAGATCAACCTCATTATTCCACTCTTAAGTACAGGGAATTCCTGTTCCTGTCAAGTGTATCAGCATCAGGAAAAGCTATGCAGATCTGAGAAGGGTGTTTTTTTTAAAAAAAAAAAAAAACTAGGAGGGAGAAAATAGGTTATGTACTGAGAAGCACTTTTGTTAGTGTGCCAGATTGCTCAGAAGTGATTGTGACATCTCCTTCATGAAACACATTAACAGCAGAAGAAATTAATCGGATAGAATATTAATTAATCTGTTCTGTCTTACGGGAAGGCAAAGAACAGCCAAGACTTTCTGTCTGATGCTCTCTCTGAAAAAGCATCTTTGTGTTTATGAATGCATTATAAAAGATTACCTGAGGTGATCTGAAAGTACATGGTTTTCAACTTGAGGAGAATCTATAGAAGAGGGGAAGGAGCTTTTCTTTTGATGTATCTGAAAAGATCTGAAAGATCTTGAAAAACTTAATTGCAGGAGAGTTCTGTTCTCATTTTTGTTCAGGGAATGTTGTCTCTGAGCAGCTGAGAGGGAAACTAACATTTAGTCAGACTGGCTCCTGTATTTTGTGTGTATATCAATGTATATTTAACTTGGATGCCTAATCCACAATAGGAAGAAAACCTTTCTTTTCAGAAGTTTTACTGAGACAGGCTTACCTGTGGTTAACAGTCAGTAGCGGCAGGAGTACTGGAACATCTAAATCCTTTCTCTAAGTCCTGGCAGAATTTCACCAAAATGCAAATCATTATTTTTTTATTTAAACAGCTTTCAATTCATCTCTTCATACAAATTCAGAAATAAGGGCTTGTGCATTTGTCAAGAGCAAAGCTAAATTTCTAAAATTGATGAAGAAGGGTTTTTGAATTGATTATGACTTCATTGCAATACTGAGCATTTCTTACATGATACATTGGTACGAAGTTATTTTTCTTCAGCTTATGATATGCAATGCAGGAAGTGATGTCTGTCATTAACATCCTCTAATGTTTTCCTTGATATGTTTTTGCTTTTAAGTTGCATGTAGCATAAAGATTTTGATTAGAATATTCGCTGTTGGATTGTGCTTAAGGATAGTTTTAAGAATCGGGGCAGGGGGAATGGTTCCCTTCATTCCAAAGATGGGCTCTGAAGAAAATTTTGACCAACGTAAATTGGCAATAAGGACATACGTGACTTTGGACTTCTGACTTCCAAAATGGAACAGCGGGTGTTGCCTTGGTAGTAACAACATGCCTGTTGTCCTTTTTCTAAAATTTCTTCTAAATTTGCCTGCAAACCCCCATTAGTATGTTCAGTGAAGATCTGTTAAATGTGGTAGCTGCAATTTGTGATGATCCATCTGCCCTGAGTATGTTCCACTCAATCACAGTCCTCAGTATAAGGACTGGGGGTGCCTTCTAGTTGCCAGTTGTGCCAGATAGTGCTATGGCAATGAATGCAGCTGTAGTAGGTGATTGATCAGCTATAGTATCATTTTTCCAGCAGAAAATAATACATAGGCACAGAAAGCTTGGGTTTTTTTCAGCTGGAAGAGCTGAAATGCTGTGTGCCATTTCTGAATGCTTGAGTTTGAAAACCTCTGTATGAGGTGAAACAGGTATTTTGCTTCCATTTTCAGCTTTTTGGGGCATGGCTTTTTCAGTTGCAATACGTGCAGAATATGGGCTACGGTTTGGAAAATAAGTTTTTCTGTCCTTTTAAGTTAATGCTGTCTTGTGTTTAAATTGAATGATACTGTGTTGGCTCTTAGGTAGACTTTAATAATGCAAGTCCTCAGTGTTACAAAATATCTTTGTTTTTCAGTTCTGAAAACAAAGGGAGTGAAACCATAAATTTAAAGAGCAACCAAAAGGAAAGCACAACTCTGCCTGCACTTTTGAAGGTATGATTTTTATTTACTAATATTTAATTGAGCTAAAGCCTGCCACCTCTGCTTGTGACTACTTGCTACTGTTCCAATACATGTTGGATGTATTCCTGCACTGCAATGTAGCACCTGGTTGTAATTTTCTGGGTTAAGGTCCATTATGCCAGGGTACTAATACACATGCAGAAGACAGAAAAACTGTGCTTCACATTCTTAAAACAAAATTAACGTCTTTACTTACATTAAAGAAGTGGGAGTCTAGTGCTAATTCTACGTGCAGTTAACCAATGAAGAAGGAAGCTAGCATTTTTATCAAATGATGGTTTCAGGCATTCCTCTAAAGCACCATTTCTATATAATTTATGAATATCTAACCAGCGTTTGCCTGCCTGAAGGTCCGCTGGTTGCCAACCAAAGCACTGTAAGATCTTTCTGCTGAAATTTGTATGCATGTTGGCTGTTCTTCATCAGTGTTATCCATGTTAATCATGCTTGTCTTGTCCTGTAAGCATTCTACTGCAAAAAAAGGACACAATTCTCTGTGATCACAGCTTTCTCCTATGTCACTTGACACAAAGTGGTGGTTGCCTATAAAGTTGTGTTTAGATTTGGTCAAATATCATAAATAATTATGTACAGGACAGGGCCTGGTGATAACAGCCGTCTTTGCTGCTGTCACATCATGTCCCGCACAGAGCCATTTTAGTGATTCATTCACTAAGCTCTTCTGCTTGGGTTTTTTGCTCCTTTTCCTAGTTGTTCTAATTTAATGCAGATAGTATCATGGCTGCTTCCCCAAAAGGGCCTTGACTAGTCTGCCAGATTTATTGGGGGATGCAGTAGGCTTTTTAACACACTGAATCTGAGATTTCTATCCTGTGTTGCATTTATTGAGCACTAACGGTGTATGGAGAAGGAAGCGGTCTTCTTCCTGTATGGCCTACAGTCTCTGTGTAGTTGCATCTTCAGTATCTAGGGACCGTTTGTTTGAGCTTTGCCAAAGGTGAAGAGGCATTGCAGTTGCCTCTGCAAAGACCTGGTTCAGTCCAACAGGGTTTTTGGCTCAAGAACAATTCCATGTTGAATGTAGTTTATCTACATCAAGGTGGGAAACAATGCAGTGACATTTGTTCAGAAGCCCTGTGGATTCAAGCCAACTCTGTCAGTTCTGAGCTCCTGGAAAATGCCACTGAACGCCTTCCTGTTACCATAAATCACAGGCTATTGATTTTATGCCTTGAAATGCAGGCAGAAAGGATTCTGATAAACCAGAGGAGATTTTACTATAGTAGAAGCAAATTTCCTGCATTTAAAAAAAAAATCTTGTTTTTTTATGTTAGATCAGTGAAAAAATCTAAAGCAGATTTTCCTTTTGAAGAAGGTGTTGACTGAGGAAGGGGAATCGTTTAGCATATGTGCACAGGACTGCAACACCAGGAATTGCTTAAAAGGAGGTCTCAAGGAACAAGCAGGATGCATAGGTGGAGCAAAGGGAGCATAGCAGGTATAAGTTACCTAAGAGTGTTTCTTTCTTGCCAAAAACTAATTCTTATTTTTTAATTTAAAAAAGCCCAAATACAGTAAAGTCTTCTACTCAGAACTTGTGTTTTTGTAATACTGTACTAAAAGTTGGTGCCAACATTAATGCTGTAAAGTTTTGTTCCAAGTATCTGATTGTCCTGGTTTCGGCAGGGATAGAATTAATTTCCTTCCTAGTAGCTGGTACAGTGCTGTGTGTTGGATTTAGGATGAGAACAATGTTGATAACACACCGATGTTTCAGTTGTTGCTAGGTAATGCTCACACTAGTCAAGGACTTTTCAGCTTCCCATGCTCTACCGACTGAGAAGGCTGGAGGTGCACAAGAAGCTGGGAGGGGGGCACAGCCAAACTGGCCAAAGGGACGTTCCATACCGTGTGATGTCATGCTCAGTACATAAACTGGGTGGAGTTGGCTGGGGGGGGGCTGCTGCTTGGGGACTGGCTGGGCATCGGTCGGCAGGTGGTGAGCAATTGCACTGTGCATCACTTGCTTTGTGTATTAATAATAATAACAATAATAATAATAAGATTATTATTACTACTACTACATTATTATTACTACATTATTATTATGTTGTTGTTGTTGTTATTATTATTTTATTTCAATTATTAAACTGTTTTTATCTCAACCACGAGTTTTTTCTCACTTCTACTCTTCCAAATCTCTCCCCCATCCCAGAGGGAGGGGTGGGGGGGAGTGAGCGAGCGGCTGTGTGGTGCTCGGTTGCCGGCTGAGGTTAATCCACGACACTGATCTGTTTTCTTTGTCTTGCCATAACTTTTTATTTAATTATATTGTCTTTGACCTATGTTTAGAAGTCTAAAGAGTTACAGTGTACATTACATTATCTTTGAAATAATACCTGGTGTTTGTATAGGCTTTATAAGAAAGGTACAGTTTTCATATTACTAGAATGTGCTGGCTGTTCAACTGTACTGAGAGCTTCCTGTCTAACTTACTTCCCTCTTTCTTAAGCTGATCAAAAATCTTCTGATACACTTGAACAGTTCCATGTGCATAGTAATGAGTACTTTTAGCACTATAATTTTATATCTTGTGTGCACTGAAATTACAACTAGATAGTGAAAACTGATTCAGAGGAGGTGGAGAAAGTATTTATTTTCTACTGCTGCCCCCTCCCCCCCTTTTTTTTTAAATGAAGAAAATACTGTTCTCTTTTTTTTTTTCCTACCACTGCTCCCTCCAACACACACTTGCATTGTGGTAACACCACACTGTCCAGCGCCTGACATTGGCCAAAATAAGCTGTCTTGTGGAAAGATCTCTAGAATGTAGCTGAACAGCTACATGACTGTCTCATTGGAAAGGGATAATGTATGTTATTGAAAGTTGTTCTAGTTTTATTTATTGAGTCCTCAAGGTTACTATGGGCTGAAAAAAAAATGTTTTGTTGTTATGGAAAGTGTACTTTGTGAGGAATGTCTAAATCTATATAGCTACATGGATCAGGTTTGGGCAGATTTCCATACATGTCCATGCCTCCGAACGATGCTTCTACCTAGTCGTTTCAGGTGGATGATGACTAAAAGTTGAAACCATATTGCATCTGTCTGTCACCAAGTTAATGAGCTATCATGTTTCTGATAGACTTACACGTAGACTTACATGCTGTGATTTTGTATATTCGTTGGCTGTCTCAGCAGGAGGCCAGGGGCAGAATAGTGGAGGAACTGTTAAGTCTCTGATTTAGTAGCAAAGGTCAGACATCTAAATTATAGCTGACTGGGTGAGTGGAGCTGGGAAACATGCTGAGCTACGGTAGCTCTTTGGCTCTTCTGAGCACTTTAGTTACCAGTTCTGTACTTTACCCCTGCTATTTTTTAACCTGTGGTGAAATATTCATAGAGGGAGGAAAAGATATTTTAATACTCAACTTATGAAAATATAAAGCCTAATCTTTCTGTGCCAAGGTGACTTTATCAATCATCATTTGATCACTTTTGAGAAAATATTACTGAAATATATTTGCCATGAAAAGTACACCACCACCCACCACTATTTATTTACAGATTTTGTTTTGCTTCTGTTTCTTTGAATTAGAGCTGTAAACAGTGCTCTTTCGGAGTAAATGCTCCATTTGAGCAATGTGATTGTTGAACAGATGGTTGTGTGGATGTAAACAGTTCTTGAACTTCATGTTTAGTGTTCTAAGTATCTGCATTACATAGCGTCCAGTACATGTTAGTATATCATTAACCTCACTTCTAGCGCTACAGGGACTTTGCTTTTAAAAGGAATACTGCAACAGTGCTTCCTGCAAAAGTATGTTTCGCATACTTTTGCTTTTGGTAATGCCCTTAAAACAAAAGTTTACAACTGGGACATAGTTATTAGTTGGATTGTGTGGAACAGCTACCAAATAAGCTAACAGCACTACTACAGCGAGCCATGTGCTGGAGAATGTCGTGTTAGTACTGTTTTGAAGAAATCGCACAACACTTGTTGGACGTGCTTGTGCCGCAAGTCTAACCTGGCTCCTACCCGTATCACCATACTGTAGTAGTAGCAGCGGTGATAGGTGCTTGGGTTAGTTTCAGTAGTAGTGAATGGTTTAGGTCCCAGGCTTGCCCTGTCTGAGGCTTTCATCCAAGTGAAGGCTGTGCCGTGACAGCGTAGGCAAATTCACTTGCCTGCTCATTGTCCCCCAGATATCCTTCCTGTAGCGGTGCATGGAAGAAATAGCACATTCTCCCATAACTGATTAGGAAAGAATTCTTAAGCGTCTCAGCACAGGAATTAGTATGTGAGCTCTGTCAGGCAAATGCAAAAGTTTGAAAAAGTAGGTACAAATATGACATACCAAACGTATAATTTAGACTTTAGTATTTCAATAGCATTAAATATTTTATAATTTGGCCCATAGGCTCAAGCCTGCGTGCTAGTTGCCTAGATTAACCAGAGTCAGTCCCAACCTTCATAGAAAACACAGGGACAGAAAGTGCTGCAAAGATTATCTAGTCCACTCCTCTGCCCCAAGGTGAGATCTCTCATACCTGATAGAAGTTTGTCTAACTTGTTCTCAAAGACCTCTAAGGATGGAGATCTCTAAGATCTCTGCAACTTCACCAGACAACTGTTCTACTGATTTCATAAACCTTATAATTAGAATGTCTTTTTAACATCCCATCTAAAGCTTCCTTGTTACAAATTAAACCTGTTGCTAATTGTCCTCTGACAAGTCCTCCTGTATACTGTGAACATGGAGAAGAGATTATTCTGTAGCCCTGCTTTCTCACATGAATTTCATTTCAAGGTAACATAAAGATGGCTGTATTTAAACGGTAGGCAAGGTATTAAAATTTGATGGCAAGGACTGCGATTATGTGATAAGATGGAGCCAGATTCTTTTTGGAGTTGCAACAAATAGGACAAGAGGCAACGGGTACAAGTTGGAACATGGGAAATTCCAGTCACCTATAAGAATTTTTTTTTTCCTCTCCCCCCCCCCCCC